TTATATTGCCTTTTATGTTCCTACTTCTCTTTTCCCTTTTTAATTCTTTGCAGACTGCTGTACAAGATCTTATAGTCAGGTTCTAGCCTGTTTTATTTCTCTCACATATTATTTTTCCCTTGCATAAGGAAGGCTGACAAACATGTTATATTTCTTAGAAAATAAGAGATACCTCTTGCCACCCTTAGAGGGTTGGAAAAGAAGAAATCCTGCAGGCCTTATCCTGATGGAAAAGTAGTTATATGTTCAGAAAAGGCAAAACTGCATGTTATGAAACTTGCTTTATTGAATTGAAAGTTAATACGTAATCCCTTGGAAGAAGATTTGAAAGAGTTAGTGTTTGCAAGAGCATTCCTCATAAAGCATTCGTCGTGACAGCTTCTGTCCTACTTGAAGAAATGAAAGGTTATCTTTCTTAATGACCATGTCAGTTTTCATGGGAAACCACCCCAGAACATAGCCTTGTTTTTCTCAATGAACTCGTTTTCATACTCTTTCCGTTAACATGTCTTTTCAAATATGTTTACATTTTTAAGCATAGAGCTTTTTTTCTTTTAATCACCGATCTTTTCTGTAAGATGAGTTTGTATTTTTCTCTTTTATTTAGTTCAAGAATGATGTGTGCATTCGTGTATTCTGTTTAATTCCAGACTAACTTGCCCCACTTTGCTTTGGCTGCAAGACCGTGCAGATTTCTTTGTTGCCCCATTAGGAGGTAAAAACAGGAGAATGGCTTTTTGAAATGGAAAGGCGAGAGATTAACCAAAGAGAACCTTTACAACTAGCACAGGAGGAAGGCGTCAATTAAAAATACACAGGTGTCTGTGCGCACGTGAGTGTGCACACCCATGCGCACATACTTATTTGTGTAACCTTTGGGGATATTTTCAAAATGAAGCACTCTTATTGTAGGGTGGAGTGGGGTTTTGTGAAAGCTGTGATGTCACTGAAGTTACAATGGCAATTTACAGGAAAGACTTAGTAGGCAACTAAGGTTCATGGAGTGAATTTTTACTCACAGAATCACGGTGTAGGTGAGGTTGGAAGGGACCTCTGGAGATTGTCTAGTTCAACCCCCTTGCTCAAAGCAGGGTCAACCAAAGCGGATTGCTCAGAACTGCGTTCAGTTGAGTCTTAAATACCTCCAAGGATGGAGAGTCCACAAGATACCTGGGCAGCCTCTTCCAGTGTTTGGAAGTATCTGTTAGTTTTCAGAAATATTCATTAATATCTTTTTAACAGGGTAGTGAGGAATTGCTAAGACTAATGTGAATTTGGTCATTCCACGTACAGACCACTTTCAAGTTTGAGGAAGGTGTGGCATGTTTTGCAAGAAGTAAAAGCCTTCTGCAATTCTTTAAACCCAGGGGATTGAGATACAAAAGAAATGCAAACATGTATCACGGTAGCAGAATGGCTGTATTTTGCACTGCTCAGGATTAGTCTGCCCACGTTGATAAGGCCTTGTGGCATTACAAATGGCTGGTCAGCTTTCCAAGAAACATACTATGAAATTTCATATACAGCAAATATCTTCGGAGAACTACTTTCTAGTAGTGAGAGGCTGCGTATATGCATCCTAGCATAAATGTAGACTTGGAGTCTGTATGTTATTTTTTCTTAGCCTCGTTGAATTAAAGGCTAGTACACTTAATTTATCAAAGTAATGAAATCGCTCATGTAAAAATATTATCTTGGGATTTATGTGTGTATTTCAGCACTTGATGAATTAAGTGTATATCTCATTATTCTGGTTGGTGTGTAAGGCAGGAGAGTATCTGTACAATTCACACTACTTAATTTTTTCAGAAAAGTTGTGATATGGAAGAACAGTCTGTTGCTCTCTTCTCAGGTACCACACCTGATTTCCTTTGCAATCTCTTCCGTACTACCGCTATGACCTGGTAAGGTAATCTTCTAGCCAAGTCATTGCTGTCTTGTTAAGGTCCAGGTAGAGATTGTAGGAATTGGTACTCTTCTGGAGATGTCACTCTTGCTTTCTCAAATGATGCTCTTCCTTTACCCATGTAAAGACTTAGAAAGTTAGCGCTGTTAAAACGTTTGAAGCAGAAATGTAGTTTTTATATGTTACGTTCTCTTTTGAAAAACAAGAACATGACTTAGATGCAAACCTATGGAACATGTATGTAAAGAGGAATTCTGTATTTCCTATCAGCAACTTGGTATTTAAGCATTTTAAACTCAAAGTAATATATTGAAGTGCTGATGTAGGAGCTTATCTTTGTAAGCAGCACCTAAACATACTTTAGGCTCTGGCTGGTGCATGAAGATTTTCTTTTCTTTGGTGACTGTTTTTAAAGTAGCTGCATCATCTGTGTTTTATCTGTAAGTCTGTCCCCCAAGAAGCTTCCCTGCTGGCTTAAAGGTTCTGTGCTATTGAATGCTTCAGGGGAATTTTGGAAGAGTTTGATGCCATTGCATCATATGTAATGTTAATCATATGTAAGCATATGTAATTTTTTTTAAGCTTGTCTTTAAATGACTTTAGATGGTCTGTTTGTATTTTTACTTTATCCATCTCACTTTTTAAATTTTAAAGAGGAATTAGGATAAGAATGCTCTTTATTTTACCTTCTGAAAATCATTTAGGTATATTTTCCAGTGGGTTCTGGAAATCTCCTACCAGTTCTAGCAGCCTTTTTTTTTTTTTTTTTTTTTTGAGAGTGAGACTTACAGATTATTTTCCTCTTCTGAGTGTCCTTTCTTAGTGTAATATATCGGTGGTCTTTGCCCTCATTCTTCAATCTTCCAGTTTTGCAGAGAGCTCTGTTAAGACAGGAAAGAGACATACTTAAAAATCTTTATAGAAATTTCCCACAGCTGTGGAAAAACTGTGTAATTTGTTTCCTAATTCAGGTGTCAAAGCTGTTATTTTTGTCTCCATGGTGTTTCTCTGAAATAGGACACTGCTGGAACCATTTTTTGTTTCTTATGAGAGCTGCTGCTTCTTCCTGTGTTTTTTGTCTGATCCAAGTACCAGGTTTTTTAATATTAAAAAAAAAAAAATCAAATTTCAGCTTTTGTAAAATCCCATTTTTAGTGTCCTACTGGTTTAGATGATTGTTTGATAGATTCATAGAGCACTAAGTCAGGGCCAATTCCAAATGGAGTTCCTAGATAGAGAAAGACATCAAACATTACAGATCTCTTAATAGAAGAGTCAAAATCCTACATTTTGCATTTTGCTCTTCTGATTACCATTGAAATATTTCCTATGTGTGCTTTTCATGCTGAGTAATCCTTAATTCTGGTGCATTTGCAAACCAAAGTCTTTTTGGTTTGTTTTTTTCCATTTTCACAAGGTTAAATCTCAGCTTTTGTTATGTAGCCACTTTGTTCAACTCTTGCTTCTTTAATTTTTTGTCTTTTTTAATTTGAGTTTCAAAGAAATCAATACCCTTTACTTCACAAACTTCTAATATTGAATAGTAAGGTAAATGAAATGCTTAAATTACATTTCCCCCCCGCCTTGTGTTCCAAGATAATAGATGCATGAAATTGTAAAACTATATAAATACTTTAAAAGTGAGTGTATTTTTGGATGTAGTATAAGACTGTGTGAGAAAAGAGATGTTGATTTCATTTTTTTTCCTTTGTTCCAGCAGGCATATAGATTCTCAAAGAAAATGCAAGTCTAACTGTTGGCAAATATAAAAAGAAGAGTGTTAGCCAAACTAATTTTGCATTCATTGTGCTTTGAATGTTAGCTCCATAATTTCGACTTCCAAGATTGAAAAATTGTAATGGATGTATTATCTTTTTTCAAAATTTATTTGAACAAATACAATAAAATTGCATCTCACTTTATTTTCATAAACTACATGTATTCATATTATATGTGCCAGAGAATTCAACAATGAATCGAGTAATCTAGACGGTTTTGGGAAATGTGAATACTGAGTATTTGTCTTGCCTGAGTCAAAGTCAACTCTGAGTCTCCTAAAAATTATTACTTGCATCATATGCTGGACTTCTGTTGTTCATGTTTTCACAGGTGTTTCACAGTAATGTTTAAGATACGAATTTGAATTTTACTTAAATTTACAAATTAGATTCTGACTTTTTCTTTGATGGATGATTAATTCACAGAAGTGTGTCAGGTTGCATTTTCACTTTGCCAGTAAGGTTGACGTAAAAAGATGAAGATACCTGAGAACTACTTAATTAAAACTACTGATGATGTTAACGTAGGCAATAGAAAGACTCAATTATGCCACATAAAATATTACTTATTTGAACTAAAGGTATCATTGGAAACGCTAATGGTTTTCAAACTGCCTTTATGAAATTACTGCTTTACAAGATATGAATAATTAAGGAGTCCATCTGTGATTCCTCTGTGTTGTATGGCATCCTGTATGGTGTCTTGATCTAGTTAATACAGTAACTGATTTCTGTGCCTTCTAGGCATCACAGATTTGGCAAATGCATCCTTTCGCTCTCAACTGCGCACATATTTTTCCATCTGAAAGCACTGTTTGTCCAAGCAACTTTTACTTGGAAAGAATAGTAACGGGCAAGTGGGAGAGTATTATTTTAAAGTAATTTGTGTTTGGAAAAAAACATATTTTAATGTTTAGCAGAAAGGCAATATCAGTGTTTGCTATTAAAAATCCTCCAAGATCACCTAAATTAATGATGCAATATTTCTTGGATGTGGCAAACATTAGAGCTTTTAAAAGACCAGAAGTCTATTCATCTTTTTCTAAACATGATCACTTTTAAAGGAAGATGCCTTTAGAAGTTCACACTTACGTGCAGGAAGTTTTTGTTAAAACAAAAACCTAAAAGGATGGTTATGTCAATTTTCAGAACATTTGTTGATAGCGTAAGTATTTTGGTGAATGTTTTAGTCCATCCTGATGATTTTTAAAAGATGACTGCTGGACTACTAGTGTTATTTTTTTAAAAAAGTCTTTCATATTTTCTTTGGTCAGATTTTCTGGGTTAGAGTTAAATAAAACTATTTTTATTTTCAGATAACCCCAGATGTGGCTTGTGGAAATGCCAGTTCCAATACCTCTGCTGGAGGCCGGCTTATCTCCTTTGAAGTTCCACAGAATACATCAATAAAGTAAGAATATTTGTCATAAGTGATGAAATATAAAAATGCTTTTATTTTAATTTGTCTGGATGTTTTAGACAAGAGTTTTTCAGATAGGCAGATTTGTCAAATGGCTAGAAGTATATGAAAGAACTTCAGACAGGCTTCAGGCATCTAGCAGTGCCATGACAGCTCATTGCTTGGTATAATTTTTCCCACATATTTAATGTTTTAGGAGAGGTAAGCATGTAAACTGTCTCTGGGCTATCAGAATGTATTAGAAATTAGAGCAGACATGTTGAAGATGTCAGTTTGGAGAAGATACGACATTTGCTTTCTCCTTCATGCAGTGAACGCTTTTTTTCCCCCTTTAATCTCAAGATGCACTTGCTGGTAGAAAGTGTTATCGTTGACTATATAAATGCCTGTATTTTGTGCATTCGTATTTGGTTTCTGGATTATTGCTTTGGGTGTCATCATTAGCTGTGAAATCTTTGTGTATGTCCTACAAACCACATTTCTGAAAAATTTGCATTCATTCTGTTTTACTCACTTTTCCAACTCATACTTTTTCAATCAAATTGAAAAAACCAGAAGTTTTATTATTTTTAATTAACAGAACCTGACTTACTAGAAAGATCTGATTCTGTCAGCTGGGATGAGGCATTTTCTTACTGGAAACTTTATTTCAAATAAAAATCTGCCAACGTAGTTCTCTGGCTCACAGCTTTACTGCAATTTTAGACTTGGATTTTCCCAAAATAGCCTACTTTTCTCATACTGTCATCTTATCTTTCAGAATCCCAGCTTTCAGTTAAAAAAGGCCATGCTCGCGGGAAAAAACAAACTGATGCAAGCAGACAAGCTGCAGACAGTTTGGAGCAGTAACTGTTAAACGTGGGAGCTGTCCTACTCTTCCCACGGGACTTTGAATCGTGCTCATTCATGAGCGTTAAGCCTAAGTCAGGAAGAGATCTGTGAGTGTGGATGCTCTGGCTGGCTGGAATCTGTAAGCAAACAAGTGTCTTTTCTTGAAATCAGGAATAGGCTGGCGTTTGTGGATTCTACAGCTGTATTTAAGACCCTTGATGGAGGGACCCCATTTTAAAGGAGGTTGCAGAGTACACAGTCGTTTTTGGTCATTTTTTACACTATATATCTTTAGAAGTGTTTTATATCTGGGCAGATTAATGCAGGTCAATATCTATCTTTATTTTATTGTATTTCCTGTGTTGAAGGCCCAAGTAACATCTCTGGTTCAATGGCTACCTATGAAAGGAATATCATTTCAGTTTAATAATTCTATTTTGTTTTGATCGTCAGGTGTGACCTAAACCGTGAAACTAGTTGCTATCCTGTTCTAAAAGTGAGATGGTCAGCTTTGGGAGTAGCGATGGGGGTTGTCCTTAAAGAGGACCCAAAATACTGTCAAAAATGTGCTTCTTATGATGTCTAGTTGCAACATTTTTCCAACTTGTGTCAAACATAATAAAACTTTGCATTTCTTCTTTTGAACTCAAATAAGAAGTGACAAGGGAGAAACTGCCTTGTGTTTTTAGCAGGATTGAAACAATTTCAGTACAGGAAATTGTGGAACAGAACTTCATCTCTGGGTATGTGGAGGCCCGTTTTCATCAGGAGAGAATTATCAGTTCTCAGCAGTTGGATGCAGTTGTGTTTTGAATTTTTGGAGCATTGTTCAAACTCACTTGGGATTCCTTCAGAGGAAATTAATGCAAATATTTGGGAACTTGCCAGAAACATGGCAGGTTTTTATTTTTTCTTTGTGGAGGTGAGTAGGGAAAAAAGTATCCTGAGAGGAAAGAAACACTGACATAGATACAGTGCTCCCTAGCGGAGCCGACAGTATATATGCAGTTGTAGATACTACTTTACCCAATCTGTCAATATTCAGGAAGGCACGGTGGACTCAGTGACCTTGGGAGCATTACATGACTCATTTGATTTACAAGAATAAACTGTTCTGAACCTTTGATCTGGTATGTCAAACAAATGAGGATTTCTACCAGGATCCGTCTCCCTGTATTGAACGAACATTGAATGTTCTTCGGTAAAAGAGGGCTGGATGTACTTCAGCTGCAGAAAATGATGGCATTGTAGATGTAGAACGGAGGTACCATTCAAAAAGGCATAAATAGAAAGACTGAATAAGGATGCTTTACTATTATGCAATGTTTATGCTAAACTCTTCCTGGGCACTAAGATGGTGTCCATTCAAGTATTAGAAATTGAAACTCTATGATTCAATCTGCTATTACACATGCTGTTATGCAAATCTTACTATTGAAGCATTTTTTATTTTTGTGGACATGCTAAAAACCTTCAGGCCTTTTCCTGATTCCATACTTGCTACATTTAAGTTTTCCTTCTTTGTTGATAAGCTCTTGCTCTGCGGTGATGTACTTCCTAATAACACCAATTTCCCTCAGTGTAAATATTCTTATCATTTCTTTTCTTAGAATAAGGCAAGATGCTACTGCTTCTCTTATCCTGCTATGGAAGGTCACAACCACTGGATTTAAACAGTGTTCACTTATTGATGGCAGAAGTGTCACTCTTCTCCAGGCACTGGGTGGACTTGTTCTTTCTGAAGAAATGCTTGCGTTAGGAAACAACTACTTCATTGGTGAGTAACATGCTGACTTTCTGTTTATCACCTCTAGGTGACAGCCGATGGTTTACCCAACATTTAGAGAAACAAAGAGGTAATTCCCTTAATTTAAGTGCTGCTGAAAGATCCAGATGTGATATTGGGACCATGTTTTAGATGTTGGTTCATTCAAAGCAGACAAGAGGTACACTGAATTCTTACACAGATGGCCCCATTCAGTTTAAAATCTAGATGGTGATTTTTGCCCGATACCTTTAGGGTGATGCAAGGTTATTGTGTATGTTCTATTTTTAGTCAACTGTAAAGCTTTTGGTAAATGCTACAGTAAATAACTCTGTTTGAGGTGTTTCTCTGTCAGACATTGTATCATGGGGTACTTTGTAAAGAAGCTTAAGCCTGCGTACAGTAAACTTGAAAAAATATATTAAAATATAATAGGAAATCTGATCTTCTAACAGTTTACTTGCACTACTCTTTCTCTTCTAGTTTTGTCTCTGTGAATATGAAACCTTAGAAATATATTGTATGTTTCATTGGGCAATTAAAAGTTAAGCATCTTTGTGGAAGGGGTGTAACGAAAATAGGCTGATATGTTATTTTTAAGTGTATGGGAAATAATACTGATTTAATGCAGTATTTATGCATAGGCACAATAGACTTAATTAAATTGAGCTTTCTGGGCAGATGGTTTATTATACCAATGACATGAAACCAAAGTCATTGTAATAACAGCATTTATTGTAATCTGCTTGAAATGCTGTATATCTTATAATGAAGTATAAGCTGCCACAAATTGTTATTTGGCAACTTATCATGCTAATAAATGTAAAATTAAAAGCATTCTGATGCAGAAACATTGGGCCAAATTCTAAGTATGTAGCTAATACAGACCCCCCCCCCTCCCCGAATGCAGAAGTAGTGCCACGTTCTCTCCTTTTTGAGCTCTCACTTAGCAAAGATACTGCTTGAAGGTTGTTAGTATAATCATTTAATTACCATCAGCAGTGGTTTCTTCTAGTGATACTTATTTTCTTCAAATAATTTTCCAGTTCCTTACATTTTCTTCATTATTTACTTCCAAGATACTTAGTTTTAGCTTTTTTCTCTTTTAATCTAGTTTTGCATTTAATTTATCAGAGTTAAAACTCTCCTCATGTGTCTTCCTCAGGAATAAATTTTTGCATTTGCCTTGTGGTAGTTACTGTACAATAAAAGTAAGTAAAAACTTGCTGAAGACAGGATAATTTGTAACTTTTATGCATTCATGAAAGTACCTAAAGGCATACCTTGGTCTATAAGCTCCCAAATAGAGGGCCTGAGTTGCTCTGTGAAGGCTCCACTTGACTGTACATGCCGTACAGCACAGGCTATTAATTTAGATAACTAAACCGAATATTGTCGTACCCTTTCATAGTTTGTCTTGTCGCACTTGTCTCTCTGTAGCTGTCTTTCTGTCACTGGGATTTTTACTTTGAATTGTTTACTGTGTGCTAGGTAATGAGGTGAAAATACACCTTTTCCTTCATGAAAATAAACCAAGGTTTAGCGCATAAAAATTGTATTAATGATCTTGCTTATTTCATGCAGTACAAGTTTTCTGAGACCTCTTATTTTACTTCCATCTGTTTGTTGATACTTTCTTTGGTCTTTCTTCTTAGTTTCCTAATAGTGAAATTCTTTCTTGAATTTTCCAGTTGTTGTAGTGTAATTTGATTTATGTAAAGAACATGAATCGTAAATGCGTATGCATGGAGCAGCAGGGAGACTCCAATAATACGGTGATACATTCATGAATAGGAGCGTCTGAGTGCTTGGTAAAGATGAGTGCAGATAGAGTGCATTTGAATTTTTATAAATCCTATTTATTTTAGCAAATGAATGGATTACCTGTAGCACTTTGGATAGAAAATGAATATGAAACATTCCCTCTGCATATCTTTTAGTCCTGAGGCGTTGCAACTCTATACTATGATATAATCAAGTAATGAGATAACTCAACTCAACCGTTTTCTGGAGTAAATTATTTTATGTGGCCTTAATTTAGTTATAGCTTTTCCCAGAATAATTTCCATTTATTAAAACACTTGAGCAGAAAAAGGGTGAAATACTGAAGGAACAGGGAAACTGAAACATGAATTTGTTAGTTTAAGTGGGTGTGTGACCTATCAACATTTATTGTAAGAAAGAGAAAACAGAGTAGCCTCTGGATTTTCTTCTCAATTGTATGGAAATATTGTGCTTACTTTCCCTCATCAGTTCTCGTCCAATAAAGTGTAAGTCTTGGGTGTAAAACTTAAAAACAAACTCAGTCATTTGGCGTGAAAAATGCTGAATTTTATCTGAATCCAACTGAAATCCATAATTCAATTAAGGTCTATATAAAAATAATTAAATCTTTACTTCAGATTTGATCCAGATGTATGGAAATGGTCTGTGAATCTGCCACACCTCACTTACGCTTTTAGTTTTCAATAGTTTAGTTTTCAATAGGATCAGATGAATAAAGTTTTTCTTATAGACAACTTCCCATGTTTCTTGATATACATGACAAACTTATTCTAAGGTACAATAAATTAAAATGGATGATTTTATATAAAAAAGCAATAATGTATCATGTGCTTTTATTGATGATATTTAAGCTAGAACAATCATGAGGACACAAGATACTGTAGGATGATGTAAGCATAGAATCACACGGTAAGGCTGTGGACCATGCCAGCTGATATATTTACTTTGTATAACTTCCCCCTTCTTCCCCCACTCTTTTTCTGTTTATTCAAATGAGTTTTTAAAGGATTCTTCTCTTAATTGGTCAATTCTGCACAATGCAATTTTTTTGACCTTTATAAAATTTCTAATTAGACCTGTAAAAGAAAAATGGGGAAGATCTGAGTGGGTTTTGGTGGGTTTTTTTTTTGTGTGTGTCTTTTGATCTACATCTCATTTGAGTCACTTCTCACTGTGTTGCCTCCAAGTTTTGTTACTCAGCAAGGTACTTTAATTACCTCTTGCAAATCTTTCTGAATAAGATGGTTATGTCAAAGAAAAAAACATTTAGGGAAATATTATTTGTCTTGTGTTGCCTTGTGGCGACACAAGTTCAAAGTTGTTTAGACAAGATTGAAAAGACTCAAAAGTCGGCAGTAAGGTACTGGTTTGCTGACCACGTGGTTCAGGGCACAACGTCTAGAGGTTGGAAAGAATGCTGTCTCTGAGATCTAAAAATAGACACCTTGATCATAGTGCTGTTTACCCCAGAGACGGTGCCTGCACTGTGTGAGAATGCGGGGTTGGAGGGAAGGAGAAGAGTGTAACACAACTAAACAAAAAAAGAGCAGTCTGTTTTCTATAATGTGATTTATAAAATGGCTGCTGCATCTGCGAACAGTCTTTTGCGGTGCAGGAAGAGAGTTGTTATGCTGTGATTATGCAGCATGATTATATTGTTAAATTATAGCATTTACCCCATT